TTCTAGACCGGTGGATTTTCCATCCGCACCAAAAACACATTACACAGTAATTCCAATGGTTGTACATAAAGTAAGTTCACTACCAGAACACACTGGAACACACTTATCCCACGCAAAACCAATTGAAAAAAACGCACTTGATTGCATTAAAAATGTGCATAAACGCGTATGTATAAACGCATCCAGATCTGGTCTGGAGATGGTGTGAACAAGTCCTGAAGGCGGCATGAAAAAGAAGCAACCTGCAATACATGAGCTACACACCATTACATGTAAGGAATGTGCTTATTGCTGTATCCCCTTCTGAAAAAAAAGTGAATAAACTTCAGTAGGTCTGCCGCTAACAATTATTTTCATAATCGATTAGTTAGCCGATTATTAACTTCGATTAATCGGATAAAATTTTAAAAATGAATACCGTCATTTATTTTAAATAGAATACACACATGCAGCGTTACAGACATACAGTTTACTTCAGAATAAAACAATATGCAAATTTTTTATAATCGGACTGCACTGGAACACAGGGAATTGCAGTACCACATGTTCCAGTGCGGGCGATCACACTGCAGACAGGAGGTGCATTTGGGATCCATTGAAATGAATGGCACCGCGACGCACCTCCTGCAGCGACATTTGCCAGGCCGAAAGTGAAAATGACTTTTCCCACCTTTTTATATATATATTTTGTAATAATTGTGTTATATTAGACATTTTAGTTTCATGGATTTAAAATAATGTGAATTGTAAAACTCTAAGCCAATATATTAAAATACCCAAACTTTTATTTAACCTCCCTGGCGGTATGATTATGCAGGATTTTAGCATGCCAAAGCGGTACCTTGTTTTCATGGCAATTTGTTGTTTTACATTGTAGGCTCGTAATTCTTAGTAAATCTTAGCAATAACTCACCTAAATTTGTCCAAACAAGAGTCCAGTAGACATCCCGGGTATGAAATTTTTGGATGCCATGGACGTTCTCAGGCAGAAAGAACAGAAAAAGTGTCAGGCAGGGCACTGGACGAAGCTCTAGGGACAACATTGAAGTGAAATGGTTTGATACATAAGTGTAATTATAGCAGATTACATTGTATTCTGTGCATTCTGTGTACATTGCATCTTCTAACTTTAGAATTTCCCGCTGGCTCCGCCCCCGCTGTGACGCCGAAAAACGAAAGTAAAAAAGTCAGATCCCGGCATCGGCCGGACGCTTACAGCAGAGGACACCGCGGGCTCGTAGGGACAAGGTAAGTGACACTTTTGTGCAATCCCAAGTGTGGCTCGGGGGTTACCGCTCTTGGTACTGAAAATTAACCCCGAGCCACACTCTGGAATACCGCCAGGGAGGTTAAAATAACACACCAAAAAAATCTATTTTTAGTTTATTTCACTTTATTTTTGTATTTGTTTACATTTTTTTGTTTTTAACTTTTCTTTTACTTTTTTTTAGTCTTTTTAACTTTAGTTTATTTCACTTTTTTTGTTTTACTTTATTGCTGGGAGCAATAGCCAGCCTGCTATTGGATATTCCAAATTGCAATAGCCAATAGCAGGGTGACTATTGCACCCGCCCACTGCCTGCTGTCAATCAGCAAAGGAGGGACCTGAATAAGAAAGTTCTCCATTGACAGCAGATTGCAGAAGGCGATTGCATTTTAAAATGTCCAATAGCAGGCTGGGTATGGCTCCCAGCCTCTAAATGGAGAGGAAGAACAGGGCGGCAGAGGAGGCACAGGGCTCAGGAGGAACGGGCCCGGCCAGAGGAGACACAAGGCAGCAGCGGAGGCACGCAGAGAAGAACCAGGGCAGCAGCAAAGGTGGGGGGAATGCAGTCACAGTAATCTTTCCTCCCCGCTGGTGCCGGCTGCAGTGGTCTGTGTCCCCCACTGCCTCTGCCGACACAGGTGGGGAGAGCAGGGGAGTGAAAGGGACACAGACTGCTGCAGCCGGCACCAGCAAGGAGGAGAATGGAGGAGCAGAGCGGCAGCAACTAATCGATGATAAGAATAGTTGGCAGCGCTTCTCATTATCGATTATAATCGATTAGATATTGCAGCCCTACTTCAGCTTTAAAAAAGAACTCCGGGCAAAATTTGTATTAACCCTTGCAGTGGTGCTACCCCCACACTTCAGTGCTACCCCACACTGCAAGGGTTAACTGCTCGTTTTGATCTAAAGGCTAAAAAAAAAAAAAAAAAAACCCCCCCATGCAATTTGTTTTAGGGTTTAAGTAATTTTCTATCCAAAACTTTAGCAAGGGCTACAAAAGCTGCAGCAATAATTATTTGCTGAATGAATAACTAAATGTGCCGAGCTAAGACAATGATCAGATATAAAGAGCAAAAAAAAAAAAAAAAAAACCCCCCACTGCGCTGGCTCAATGCTTCTCTGGTCTCTAATGTTCCTCGGCACCCTCCCATCTATAAGCTGTGTATAGAATGTGATGATTTACAAGAAACGTTTGGCCCGGTGTTCTTCTTTAACCTATGGGAGTAACAGACAAGTGTTCCCCTAGCAGTGTTGTAGCATGGGCTGTGTAGAAAGCTGGAGGAAATGAAGGGGGATAAAAGAAATGTATGGATTGAATGCAAATCACAGTACAACATACAGCTACCACAATGCTTTGCTCCCCGTCCTGGCGGCAGTCTGAAAACAATGAGAGTTATTAGAACTGTCACACTGACTCAGAGACGACCACGATGGTGCAATGAAAGAAGTGAAATGCGTTCCTCAGAAGCAGGCCCTACCATTGGCTTCTCTGCCACCCTGACTACGATGGCACCCAGTAGCAGTGTGTGTGGTGGGAGAGTCACATGACACAACCACTTCCTGGACTCTGTACATGAAAACAGACTGCGCTACAAATCAGACACAAAGTATTATTTGTAAACAAGAGCTCCATGCACCGTATGCACTCCACATGTTTACTGGGGCCACCAGCGTGTTCATGAGACCATGTGTCATTTATTCTTATTGTCACCCCGGACACGCCAAGCAAGACGCGCGATTAAAGCCCTGGGTTTGGGCAGAAACGCATAAGCCATTTTGCTGCTGAATTAAATAAAGTGATATTTGGAGGAGATCCCTGTCCGTGTCTCAGTCTTTTAGCATCAGTGCAGAAACAATGCACACACAGCAATAAAAACCTGACCGAGGGTCTAACTCTTCCCTATTGTCCACAACTAACAAAAAAATGGGACACACTTTAAGGGCCCGCTCATATCAAGGCCGCGCATTAATCGCACAGGACCACGCAACGCACAGTGTAACGCTCTGTAGCTGCGTTGCAGAGTGCCGTGCATTACTCACATGAAACCGCGTGATTATTGCACAGCCTTGGTGTGAATGGGCTCTCAGGAGCAGGAATGGCCCTCAGGAGCAGGAATGGTAAACATTAACCCTTGCAGAGGGGGCTACCCCCGCACCACAGGGGCTAACTTCTCATTTTGGACTAGGGAGCTAAAATAAAGATATACTCACCGGTCCCTGCTCCTGCCTGGCTGCCAGTCCCTGCTGCCTCTTCTCCCCCGAGCTCTGGTGACCAGTATATTAGGGGTGAGGACTCCGAGGCACATTCCACAGCCAGAGAGGAGGGAGGTGAACAGTCACCCCTGCAGGACTGAGTATTTCTAGAGAAGGACAAAGGCTACCCCAGCACTGCAAGGGTTCATTTTGACTTGCGTTGGAGTTCCTCTTTAAGACTCAGTATTGTGCTCAGTGCTTAAGGCAGGCAGTGTCACCAGAATAGGAAGAGAGAGGAAACCTTCCAATGGGGACACTTCTACCAGAGTCTGTCTCAGAGAGGAGTTTCCTTATCTAAAGGTCCCCACACACCTTGCGATAATCGTAAGATGCTCGGCGGGTTTTTGAACATGTCTGTAAGTTAAAAGTCATGCGACCTTACAGTAGTAGAGGTCGCACGGCTTCCACACACCTTACGATAATCGTACGATCGCGGGATTTCCCACCATTATCGTACGATTATCGCAAGGTGTGTGGGGACCTTTAGATAAGGAAACTCCTCTCTGAGACAGACTCTGGTAGAAGTGTCCCCATTGGAAGGTTTCCTCTCTCTTCCTATTCTGGTGACACTGCCTGCCTTTAGCAGTGTAGCATGTTCGTACGATAAAAGCCGTATGGGCCGGTGTGCGCAAGCGCACACTGCCCGTTCGGCATTGCGGTCATCGAAAGCCCGCCCCCTCAGGGGGCGTGGCTTGCGATCATCGCAAGTACGATCTGCCTATGCAAGATAGGCAGATCGTACGTTTTTTTAAGTACATTACAACCATCGCAAGACAAAAGTCTTGCGATGGTTGTAAGGTGTGTGCCCAGCCTTACAGAGATCTCGTATTTCTTGTTGTGTCTACAGGACAGAAAATCAAAGTGTATGGAAACCCCTCATACGCTAGGCTCCGATCTAGGTGATTGAGATGGTGAGCTGTTTCCGTGCGTTTTCCTTTGCGCAACTGTGCTTTGAAAAGCGCATAGTTTTTAATGCATAGAGATGTGCATAGGACCCAAACCGTGCGACAACCGCCCGAAAATAGCTTCTGCGCCTTTTTGCGCGACAGGCGATTTTGTCCACGCGACAGACCGCAAAGGTGTGAACAGCCTCCATAGACTTCAATGCGAATCTGTGTTTTGCACGATAAATCGCTTCGCCTAAACACAAGCGTGAAACGGGCTGAATTCCAAACGCCTATGTGTGAATGGAAACTTCCTTTATTTCACCGTACGGTATTTATCCCGTGTGATACCAAATATAACCAGCCAGGCATGTACACAAAAATCCAGCAAAGCTGCACTAATCCGTCACCGAGCTCACCAAACTCCCAACAAGCCATCTCAGCGGGAGGTCTCTTCTGCGTCAATGTACTAAACAGTCCTCTATGACAGAAGCAATCAGTATACGGTGACGTCACACTATAACTAGTTGAACTCCCTCGGGCTGTCAGCACTGGCTCCCGTCCAGGTATAGAAAGCAATAATGACACCTTACCGAGCACAGCAACCTTTCTCAGGTGACCGATCTCTTCACACACACCCCGAACACCAGTCCGTGTCCCCAATACAGGGCACGCTGACAACTCTCTCTGCACGCATTGGCTGCAGCGAACGTAAATAATTCTGCAACGCAGCCCCAGGAGAATAGATGGGCGGGCGCACGAAGCAAGGCGGCGACTATCCCCGCCCATCCTGGGCAGCTGAGCGGTGATCGCGGACCGTGATTGGTCAAGCCGGAGCAGGCTGGTACCTGAAGGCGGAATTAGAGACATTCACAAGGCCATTTCCCCGGTATGACATCACAAAGTAGGCGGTGCTGTGCTTGGTAGGCGGGGTGAGAGGTGTGTTTAGAGGAGGAGTGTGCTGGTGGTGAACGTGCAGATTTGTAGTGCTGATTTCGAGCTGGTGTCATTATCACTCAGTGAGTGTGGTGGAAGAATTGCTGTGGTATACACCGCTGTGTATAAAGTGGAGCCCCGGACATGTACTTGCTTTTAGATACAGACAGCAAGTATTACAACCTCTGTCAGGGTTTAGTGCTCGCTGTGACCCCAATGGGGGGCTCATTCCATATATATTCCCACTGGGCAGCTTCCTGTGCAAGGCCTGCGGCAGGGGGTTGCCTTTGCCATCATAGAAGAGGACAAATACTGCAAGCACACAATGGAATCATATTCAATAGTCCAAATCTTTATTTAAAGAAAACTATGGTAATTTAAAAATCTTTACCCTGTAGTGGGGCTGCCCCTGCACTTAAGGCCCCGTTCACATTGAGCGGTTCGCAAATAGCGCGTTTGACGCGCGATTTGCATTTTGCGCGATATTGAGCAAGCTTGAATCGTGGCTAAATCCGCTCCAAAAAGGGTCCTGCTGTAGCGACGCACGACCCGCGACAGCAGCACCCTTTGCCCCATTGAGAAGCATTGGAGAGCGATATCGCGCGGTAAATTGCCGCAATATCGCGGGAATTACCGCGCGATAAATCGCTCAATGTGAACGGGGCCTCAAGGGTTAACTGCTCAAATAAAGCAGATATACTCCCCTGATCCTCTGTCCCACCTGGCTGCTAGACTGGTCCCCACAGCCTCTTCTCCCCCGGGGCTCCAGCACTCTAGTGACTGCTGATGTCATCATGTCTAATGCAGGTCAATGGAGGACACCGAGGGACTTTCCGTAGCTGGAGAGAGGTGATCGCTGATCAACGCGGGACTGAGGATCTGGGCATATTATTTTCTTTATTTAGTCCCCTTGACAAGACGTGGACTTAAAGTAGTATTACACTCAATAATAATGAATTCAGATCAAACAAACACACATTGCCTGGCAACTTATTTCTTTACATTTTTACCCAAACACTTACAATCATCATGTTTACAGACAGCTCCAACTCTCTCAGCTCCACTTCCCCGGACTTCCTGTCCAGTACAAGATCACAAAGCAGTCTCCAGCAGCAGTCCATCTACTAGCTTAGAGATGGAGGATGGGTGTGTCTTGCCTTGCTGTGTATTTGTGGAGACACACACAGCTTACTAGCACACACAAGGGATACAGCGGATCTCGGGACCGGCAACAGCAGTGACAGCTGCTAATACAAGCGATCGAGCGTCTCTAGAGACTAGGGTTGCCACCCGTACGGGAATGACCCGGACAGTCCGGTTTTGGAATCCTGTGCCCGGGTACACTCCTTTGGCAGACCCGGGCACAGGATTCAAGCCGCAGACTTGCTCACCACATGGAATCGTGGTGCTGGTGACATCTGTATTGGAGTTCTGTTGTGAGCGGCGCCATCCGCAGTCATTACGAGCACCCGTTACTTTTGGGATATCGGGTAATGGGTGCGGCAAAGTATATGGATATTGCTTTATATAGTATATATCTGGGGACCTGTGACACACAGGCAAGTTGTGATTAACTCCAAATACATGCGTCGTGTATACTTTACAAAAAAATTGCCGCGAGGTGCTACAGTGTTCGGGTTTGGCTTGAAGAAAAGGTGGCAACCCTACTAGAGACGTCCGATCGCTTGAATGTAAAGCTGCCGGCCGGCCGTGTAATTACAACGGCCGGCCGGGAAGCTGCTCGTCTGGCTCCACCGTCCGGATTTTTCAAGCCCTGGTGATGTGATTGCTTTAATGAAACATTTGGACTATGGATCCGTGGTGTGCTGGTGACATATGTTCTCTTCCCTTTGAGGGGATTCCTCCTCACTTCCTGTCCTGGTGACCAGGGCCAGCCTTAGGGGTGTGCGAGCTGTGCGGCCGCACAGGGCGCCATGGCAACAAGGGCCGACACAGCTCGTCTTCTCTCCCCCTCACCGCTGGCCATCCGATATGACAGCGCTCCCTCATCCGCCCCCAGGGAGCGCTGCCTGCTGTCAGGATGGCGGAGCGGTGAGGAGGAGAGAAGCCGCGCCCGCAGCTGTCAGGATGGCCGAGTGGGGAGGAGATCGGAGCCGCTGTCATCCTGTCAGTTTCAGGATGACAGCGGCTCTGTGGGTGGCAGAGCGGGGGATGGGTAAATATCATAGTATATGTATCATACTTTTTAATATGTTTCTTTGCGGCTTAACAAAATAGGAGTCTTTAAATGGTGTGGATATTGGGAAAAATGAGTGTGGTTACGGGGGTGTGGCCACTGAGGGGTGTGGTCACTGAGGGGCGCTGTAAAGCTTTCTCGCACAGGGCGCCTAAAGGCAGGCCTTGCTGGTGACAATCTATAAGGGCCCGTGCACACCAATGCCGTTTGTTATGTAACGCACCTACCGTGTGTTACAGTGCGGCAGGTGCGTTATGGCACCCCAATGTTATAGCACGGTTACAGGAAGTGTGTTGGGGGCGCCATTCAAATGCACTGTAACACACGCACGGTAGGTGCATTGTGTGGTACCAATGGAGATTTTTCCCACTTCCTGTCTAGGTGACAATCTTGTCATGGGACAGGAAATGACAGTAAATTTCCCCAACAAAGCCATAGCAATGAAAACCTTACAGAAGTCCACATTCTTCCCCATACAAAACGTTATGGCTGGAATGACACTTTAAATGAGATGCAAGGTATGTTCAAGGGATGCACCAATACTGGTATCGGTGGCAATACTGAGCTCATACTCCCACAAATGGTCTGACACTTACCCCGATACCCAAACTGCCAGTCAGAGGGACATTCCCTCTGACCGGCAGTGCCGCGAGGGAGCATAGAGCCCGCCTCCCAATTGGCTAGGAAGCCGGCTTCATGTTGCCAAGTGATATTGCGAGGCAGCATGGCTTCCTGAACAATCAGGAAGCTGGGCGGCATGTCATGGCCCATCTCCCAGCTTCCCGATTGGCTAGGAGCCTGGATTCACACTGCCTAGCGACACTGCGAGGCAGCCTGGCTTCCTGAGCCGGCAGGTGAATACTTGAACAACGCCTGCATCCAATCATATTGTTCAGGTAATTTGAGAGCCAGCGGGGCCGACTAGAAAGATACCGAAGCTTGGCCCAGCGGGAGATTCCTCCATCCACACAGTTTAGCGTAGACGGAGAAATCTGTAGCACTTTTTCCATCTGACCATAGAAAATCGGCAGATAATCTATAGGTGTATGGCCATCTTTAGTCATTTCTGCCGGCCACAAAAGAAGGGGTTGCTTTTCTGCAATGCGAATATAAACCTTTTAAGGGTCTGATTATTCAGAGAATATGCAGGAGCCAATCACATCAAACAAGTCAGAACATGCAGAATCCCAGGAATATATTCATCCTTTTAATAATTCTCACAGATTGGGTTACAAAGGAATGACATCATCATAATGGTATGTCAGGATGTGTTGCCAACTCTGAGAACTCTGCCCATGGCACGTAGATGTGTAATGTAAGGCTGGCCATACACTTTACAACCATCGCACGACTTTCGTTAAGCGATGGTTGTAAGGTCATTAAAATTTCATACGATCTGCTCATCTTGGACAGGCAGATCGTACTTGCGACCATCGCAAGCCTTTCCCGCTGAGGGGAGGGCTTGCCAATGATTGCAGTGCTGAGCGGGCAGTGTGCGCTTGAGCACACCGGCCCGTGCGGCATTCGTCTTCCGAGGACGCTACCAACCCACCAACCCGCTGCCCATACACCTGCCGATTATCGTACGGTCGCAGGATCATCCATAACTATCGTACAATAATCGGCAGTTGTGTGGGCACCTTAAGGCAGGGCACCAGGAAGGCTCGAGGCAGTGCCTTGTTCTTCACCATGATAGCCTTTCCAAATATCAGCTCACTTTGGTAACCCATGTTGTGTTGACAGCCACAGAGCAGGTGATAGCAGGGGCTTGGCTTTTGGATAACCTTAGGCTGGCCATACACCAAAAGACTAGCAAAGCCTACATTGGATCATGATTAATGAGAAACTGCCGGCCAAGTTGCAGGGCACTGCATCCAAATTTTGTAAGGTATGGGACCCGTGGACCTGTAACTTTTTACCACTGGATTTTGATAGAACGCTTCTGGAATGTAATTTTTTTGTAGAAATGATTTTATGCCCTGTGAAACCATGGATTCCTTGGCCATCCTTATCTTTAATCTTTCTCTTCTCTTTTTCTTTTCTTTCCATACTATCCTTTCGTTCGTCTTTTCTTTTCCCTGACTCAATGGTTGCCTCATTTGTTACCACCAGTTAAAGGAGAACTATGGGGTTAAGTGTTTTCCCCATAGTTCTCCTTAGTGTAACGGGAGGACACAAACTAGCGTCCTCCCGGCACCCTAGGCTTAGTATACCGCGAGCTACAGCTCGCGGTATACTGAGACGCTGAAGCGGGTCCCGACAATTGTACCGGGATCCACCCAGCTGCGTGAGTGACAGCTGGCTCTGCCTATTTAGAGGCAGAGCCAGCTGTACCCGCCCCCTCCCCCGTCCGTTCCGCCAGTCAGCGCTGGCGGATCGGAGCGGGGAATCCAGCCCCTCCCCTGTCATGGCAGAGAGCCGTGACAGGATCGAGAGGTAAGCGAACGCCGGTATGTGTTCGCTCACCTCCCGATCTACTGAGCCGACCTGTGACAGTCTCATTGTCACAGGT